TATGGTCCAAGGGGTAATATTATTTAGGTCAAGATGTTCCAGAATAAGAGGACAGGGAGGAGAAGGGGGCGGGAGACTGTATTGGACCAGTATGATTCATAGAGATGAAAGAGGCAAGCTGTTCTTTTTCTTTCTTACTGTGTCCTTTCTACCTGAGGTTGGGGAAGGGACTTTATACATGCCCATTTTGCTTCCTGTTATCTTTTTTATCAAAAGATAAAAATTAAGTATACATTGTGGAGGGGGAACCATAGCTTAAATTGTATCTTATTTATAATATAAATAAGAATGTTACCATCTTTTCTGGGAGCTTAAGTCTTGGCAAAATCAAAGCATTAAGAAAGTATCTTAATTTTTACATTTCACAGAAAAATGAAAACGTTCCACTCTTCTTTAAAAAATAGGATCTTTGCTTTGGCAAGTGTATGGTTAACAGCAAGGGTGCCTGAAGACTAAAAGGAAAACAGAATAATAAGAAACTTTGCTTTTGTTCCAGAACTTGAAATCCAGTGGTGGAGATCTTTATTCAAATAATCATATCAAAGTTGAAAGAGCTACAAAGTGCAAAGGAAACATGAGGCTGCAGAGTACTTTTCAGTTGGAATTTCATGGGAGATTTCCTGGAGAAATGGCGATTGGGCTGCCGTGGGACTTCCCACTAGTGGGGCAAAGACAAATGGGACTAGGGGCGTGTGATGACCAGGGTGGAGGCAGGTGGAGCAACCTCAGGAAAGTCACAAGCAAAGGTGAGCAGCCCAGGAAATGCAGAGCATGCTGACCTGCAGGGTATGCCAAGACAAGGACACTGATGGAAAGTGAGACTGCAGAAGTGATTAGGGCCATGTCCGGGGAGCCTTGAATGCCAGTTTCATTTATTATATAGGTCAGTGCTTCCTCTGCTTTCCATCAGTGTGTCCTTACCAGAGGAGATCTTGGGGAGAAGCAAGGAGGGATGAGTAAATGGAGCACAGCGGGTGTTTAGGGCAGTGAAACTACTTTATGATACTGTAATGGCAGATGCATGATTCTAAGTATTTGTCAAGATCCATAGACTGTAGGATATTGGTTCATTAGATCTGTAACAAGTGGACCACACTACTGCAAGTGTTAATACTGAAGGAAATGGAAAATAAAATTGGGGAAATGGCCTCCCCGGTGGCGCAGTGGTTGAGCGCCGTGCTACAAAGCTGTCCGCAGCCTCTGCGGTGCAGGTTTGATTCCTCATTGGCCAGGGAAAACCCCACATGGCGCAGCAGACCTCTCCTGCCTCGCCCCCTGCTCCCCTCAGCAGTGTCTTCAGTCCGTCTGCCTGTTCTGCTCCCCACTCTGGCTCTGGTGGATTCTCTCACCCTCCCGCGCTTCTGAACTGTACCCCAGTTCTTGTATAAATAAACAAATCTTTAAAAAAAATAGGGAAAACAGAATATACTAGGGGGGGAGGGAGAAGGGTCTATGGGAGCCCTGTATTTTTTTTTAAAGATTTATTCATACAAGAGCTGGGGGACAGGCCAGATGCGCAGGAGGGTGAGAGGATTCATCAGAGACAGAGTGGGGAACAGAACAGGCAGACTGACAAAATACACTGCTGAGGGGAGCAGCGGGCGAGACAGCAGAGGTCTGCCGCGCCATGTGGGATTCTCGCTGGCTGGCCAGGATCGAACCTGTGCTGCAGAGGCTGCGGACAGCCTTACAGTGTGGTGCTCAACCACCTGTGCCACCAGGGAGGCCCTTCTGCTCCATTTTTAAGTCAACCTAAAACTGCTCTGAAAAATCAAGCCTGTTTTTTTAAGTAGCATTCTTTTGGCTATGAAATGTACTAAGTATCATTGATTTCAAGGTTTTTCATATTATATCTTTAAAACCACATGGACTTTTCAGTCATTTATACATAAATCGCTGTTTTAACATTAAATATCCCCCCAAACTTTTCAATGTGATAAATGACCTTGTGTAAAAAAGTCTGCTTTGGTTGACAGAGAGTCGTTGAAATCTCATGTTAAAAGGGAAGCAAAGCAAAATTAAACCAGTGACATGATGAACCATCAGTTTTTCTTGCAAAACAGATTTTTTTTGCATCCTTGTTTTCATTTCCCAGTATTCACAGAGGCATGTGCTCTACCTTTAGCTCGCTCAGCCACCCTTGGCTGGTATGAAGGAGAACCTTGCAATATCTGTGAGAGGTCGATTATAAACTCAATTTTGTGGATATTCCATCTGAGCAAGAGGGGTATATTGGGGCCTCCCTGATGGTGCAAGGAGTTAAGCGTTAGCACTATGAAGCTATCAGCAGCCACTGCAGCACAAGTTTGATCCCTGGCCAGGGAGCTGACCCACATGGCGCAGCCAACCTCTCCTGTCTCCCACTGCTCCCCTCAGTGGTATATTTCAGTAGATCCAACTGTTCTGCTCCCCATTCTGTCTGTGGTGAATCCTATCACTTCCTGCACCTCTGGTCTGTACCCCAACTCTTGTGTGCATAAATAAATAAATCTTAAAAAAAAAAGGGGTATATTTTGATGTGAAAATAATTAATACTAAGAAAAATGGAGAGGGATGTGAAGTTGACATGCTGGGGAACCAGCAGAATGTTGGAGTGAGCGGGGTGTGTGGTTTATGTGAGTCCTGACACTAAGGGCACAGTTGGATGTGCATCCCTGTCATGACAAGCACAGACTTTTTCCTGACAGTCACTGAGGCCCAGCATGACCTTTAAGCTATCACCAGTACACTCCCCTTCTTGGCGTGTAGTGTTGACACTGTAACACCATAACTGGAGGTGGTTTGGGTCCTTATTGGTGTCGATATTCAGACACATGAGTCTACATGGGACCTTGTGGGTCCTCTGGGAACCAAGAAACACATTCACAGATCTAATCCCTTATTTGTGTTTTCAGGGCACTTTGTTTTCTTATGAAGACCACGATGGGAATCTTTAACCTTGTGCCTTTCAAAGTAAATTCTTTAGCTCTTTCAGGAGGCCTTTTCCCAGATACCCTCAGAGAGTAGTCTCTCTTCCATAAACTGTTCTCAGCATGGCAATGCAGAGAATATAAATAGAATGGGCTTTCCAGGTCAATCTTGAATTTGAATACTCTGCTTATTAGCTGTTGAGTACCAGGCAAGTCACTTACTTCTCTGGTCCTGTCTTTACTAAAGTGGGCTAGTGTCAGGGGTTACATGAAATCACAGGTAAACTGCGTCTCATGCACAGGAGTGCTCCATAAATATCGGCTTACTTCCCCCTTCCGTGGCCCTTCTGCTAAGATTTCACAGCCACCCCACCAGCTCACTGAGTATTCAATAAATAAATATTTAGTGAGTGCCTACTGCATGAGCCAAGCCCTTTGCTAGTTGATGGGGATCTGATTGTAAATAAAACAGATAAGCCTGAGATTTCAGAAGCCCTCGAGTGTATCAGCAGTTCATTCATCTCTAATGTCAACAATCCCACATTCACAGAGCTCTCCGCTGGTGTTTTTGACCAAAGAGTTAACATTTAAAATACTTACTGACTATAGACCTTGAGGGCACTGTGCAAGTGAAATAAGTCAGACAAAGAAAAGAGACATACTGTATGATTTCACTTATATGTGGAATCTTAAAAAAACAAACAAAAATGAGCTCACAGATACAGAGAACAGATTGGTGGCCATCAGAGGTGAGGGTAGAGTGGGGGTGGGGATGAAAAGGGAGAGAGGGTTTCAAAAGGACAGATTTCTACTTTGAAATAAGTAAGTCTTGGGCTGTAATATACAGCACAAGAACTATAGTTAACACTGCTGTGTTGGATATTTGAAAGCTGCTAAGAGAATAGATCTTAAAAGATTTCATCACACACAAAATACCACTTCGGTGGTCACTAGACCCCATTTTGATAGTGGGTGATTACATTGTACACTGAAACTAGTATGTAATATGTGCATTATAGCTAATAGTTTACAAAGAGTAAGATAAAAACTTTTAAGCAACACTTGGTGACTGCTTTTTTGGTACCACTTTGAAACTGGTTTCAGATGAACCAAGTCAGACAGGTTCCTATTGCATAAAGGTTTAAAGTCTATACACCCCAGCTACCCACGAGTCCACATGAAATACTTAGAACCCAGATCTCTCAGGGTTTTATTTCATTTACTGTGACCACAAATCACAATTAGAAAAATGCATGTGGCATTATCTTAAGCAGGCAATTCGTGAATCAGGTTATTGTGAGATCTGAAAACCCACAGAATTTTTTTACCTTTGTCTTTTATGTTTTCTTGTTTCCATTTTTGCTTTGTTGGGGGGGGGTGGTTTAAAACTAATACTGGGCTAGATTCTGATTTTTACCTCTTAATTATGATCAAGTGTGTTTCCATGTCTCTCTAGTCTCTGTTCTCAGTGTGGTGACTACATCCTCCTCTTTAAGGAACGCTATATCCCCAGAAAAGATAAATCTGAGTTTTTATAGTACAGAAGGGTCTACTTTTTAAAAAGATTCATTTTAATATTACTTTAAAAAACAAAATCATTTTATAATGCAGCTGAAGAATAAATTCCCCTATGTAAATTTAATACACCAAATTTCCATCATACAAAAATATAAACACAAATGGAGGAGCAAAATCTCCATTCCAAAACAAAAATATTTCAAGAAAACACAAAAAAACTGGTTTCAAGAAAGTAAAGTTGTCCCAGAACCCTATGCTCTAAAAAATCATGTACAGACATGAGTGATGACCTTAGAAGATAACGAAAGCACAGATGTTTGCAGGATGTTTCTCTGAATATGCTTAAATATCCACAGTCTTCCAGGGTCTCTGCTGTGATACCCAGGTATGAGGCCACCTCCCTCCTGTAGCTAAACCACATGGACTGCACTATGAAGGTGGTTATGCTCTCTTCTCTCGTACAACTGGCATGAGATTACTTACCAAAGACTCTTTCCGTTCTCTTTCTATATGTCTTCAGAAGATTGCTGTTTTCCAGGACTGTCTTCATAACTATTCTTTTTTCCATTTCAGAAATCACCATGGTTGACACAGAGATGCCATTCTGGCCCACCAACTTTGGGCTCAGCAACGTGGATCTCTCTGTAATGGATGAGCACTCTCACTCCTTTGACATCAAGCCCTTCACCACGGTTGATTTCTCCAGCATTTCTACCCCCCACTATGAAGACATGCCGTTTGCGAGAGCTGACCCAATGGTTGCTGATTATAAGTATGATCTGAAGCTCCAAGATTACCAAAGTATGTTTCTTTCTACTTGTCAGATAACTAAAGCTGGTGGGACTGCTCTCTCCATGACCCTGGAGTCCATGCTCCAGAGACAAACACTGTAGAGAAAAGGCCTTTACCACTCATTTATTCACCCATCTGTCCTCAAGCTGCTGGATGTTGATGATGTACCCAGAAGGAAGGCAGTCTTTACATGCCCCTCTCATTCTTTCCTTCTGAGCTCCCCCTTCCTTCCTCCCTGCTTTTTTTTTTTTGTTTGTTTTAATATCTCTAAGTTTCTCTCTCTTCTTTAAATTTTTCACAGTTTTATTAAATTGTCTCCCCTCAAGTGTCACTACTTACATTCCCACCTACCAAGTACAGGAATGCTAATTTCCACACAGATCAATACAATGCATTATCCATTTTTCTCTATCTTTGGTAACCCATAGAATATATGTATTTGTAATTTTGGGCTCCATTTATTCACCTTAATTTTTTTATATAATTCTTACATTATTTTTCATTTTTGCACAGTGTATGCATTTTCATTTTTTCTTGCTTCTTTGTTAAGAGCGTTCTCTAGCATGATCATATTGCCATGTGTCACTCAGACTGAGTCTTGAGAAGCTGACACTGAAACCTATTTTTCAGCACAAATTTAAAATTTGACATTGTGAACTAATGATAAATCTTCATGCCATGAACTAAATTCACATCAAACCGTCAGACTCAAGAAAAACTAAAACTGTACTTTTCAAGATAAAATAAATTTCTATGATGCTATTTCCTTGATTCTTATCTCTCTGTGGCTGATATGCTGGTTTTCCAAAGCCACCACCATGTAATTGGCAACCATTACTTGACAATAAGTAAGAACTTCCTGTATTTCTAGTTGGTTTTTTTTTTTTTTAAACTAAGTAGTATATTTGGTTATATTTGTGTATGGGTGGTTTTTAGTTAGAGCCCAATAGGGAAATTTAATAGGCCTAATCCTAACCAAAGAAGTATGTACTTTCCATAGGTTCTCTTATTCTTGATCAAAGATCATATTACAAACCGCCTTTTCTGACTCATTACTGATGGAAGTCTGATCTCTTATTTTTCATGTACCTTCAAACTGGGTTTACCGTTACTTTTTCATGGCAGTGTTCTGTCTGCATTTTCTTTGGCCAGAGTGGTTTTAAAATACTTCTTAAATATTTCATAATGCAACACAAATCAAAATATATAACTTAATATTGTGATGAATGCCAAACACAGCCAGCACATTACCTAGTGGGTTACAGGGCATTGAAGGGTCAGAGAACCACAGACTTAATTCCCTTCCCATTTTTATTTTTACAGGTGAGACTCAGAGTGGTGTGACTTGCTTGTGATTTCAAAGCCTACTTTTCTCTGTGTATTCTTGTGTCCCGTAGTTCTTCCACAGTTCAGTATAAAAATATGGCAGTAAGGTGCACCCTGCGACCCGTCCTGTTGCCTTTACAGCGTTGTTCTCCATGCATAATCATCTGCTTACCTGTTTCTATGCACAGGTGCAATCAAAGTGGAGCCTGCATCCCCCCCTTATTATTCTGAAAAGACTCAGCTGTACAATAAGCCTCATGAAGAGCCCTCCAACTCCCTCATGGCAATCGAATGCCGTGTCTGTGGAGACAAAGCTTCGGGGTTCCACTATGGAGTTCACGCTTGTGAAGGATGCAAGGTAAAGCATTGTTTCTTCAAAGAATTGGCTTAGATCTCACCTATGTCATTTCCTGTTGTAAGCACATGACAAGGAATTGCATATGCTTTTTTTGTAAAACCCATTTTTCAAATAATATATAGTATAATATTTGAAAATCAAAAAAAAAAAAAAAAACACAGGTAAAAGCATGACTGCTTTGCCTTACCCCCTCTCTCCAAATTGGGCCTTTGAGGAACTGACCTAATTCAACCCTTGTATTATGCAGGTTAAAAACAAAAGTCGGGCCTCCCCGGTGGCGCAGCGGTTGAGTGCTGGGTTGCGAAGCTGCCTGCGGCCTCTGTAGCACCGGTTCGATCCCTGGCTGCTTCCCGGCCGCCGGAGGAGGGTCCCACATGGCGCGCAGACCTCTCCTGCCGCCCGCTGCTCCCCTCAGCAGTGTCTTCGGTCCTTCTGCCTGCTCTGCTCCCGCTCTGGCTCTGGTGAATTCTCTCACCCTCCCGCGCTTCTGACTGTACCCAGTGCTTGTATAAACAAAACAAAACAAACAAACGAACAAATAAATAAATAAAACATGCCTCTATTAAAAAAAAAAAATTTAAAAAAAAAAAAAAACAAAAGTCACACATGCAAGGTGCAAGGTGTCATGGCAAGAGAGTGATGGGAGGGCCCAGAACCTCCGGTGTTTCTCACTGCAGAGTGCAGTGTTTTCTGTATGTAAGGCTTGACAGCATGGACAGATAGCAAAGCAAACAGGGGTAGAGAGAAAGAAAGAAAGCAGAAGAAAAAAAGGAAGGAAAGAATGAGAGAAAGATCTTCGTTTGAGCCTTCAAACAGTCTTATGAGGCCTATTTATGGGCCAGTTTGCAGAAGTAGAAATTATGAGTTGAGACTTGCTCAGATCATCCATCAGAGCAAGGACTAGAATATACATTTTGTGACTTCTAAATCAGTGCTCTGTGGTTTCTGATTCCAGCATGTTTGAGTTACATATTATGAACAGGTCAAAAAATAATGACTATTTTGGAAAGAAGATACAATTTGTCTTCATCTCCTTTCTTTGAGAAAAGGGTACTTTGGGAAGCTCAAACATTTAGTAACATTCTTCCCAGTTATTAAGAAAATATTAATCCACTCATTTTAGTATGTGTTTTTTGTTTTTTTTTTAAAGATTTATTTATTTATTTATACAAGCACTGGGTACAGTCAGAAGCGCGGGAGGGTGAGAGAATTCACCAGAGCCAGAGCGGGGAGCAGAGCAGGCAGAAGGACTGAAGTACACTGCTGAGGGGAGCAGTGGGCGGCAGGAGAGGTCTGCGCGCATGTGGGCCATGTGGGCCATGTGGGACCCTCCTCCGGTGGCCGGGGAGCAGCCCGGGAATCGAACTGGCGCTGCAGAGGCTGCGGGCAGCTTCACAACCCAGCGCTCAACCGCTGCGCCACCGGAGAGGCCCTTAGTATGTGTTTTTTAAAAATAATCAATTCTGACATACTCCATGAGTGAAATAATAATAGAATAGTATTTACTATCTATTCCATGATTCAGGATAAGTTTTTATCTCATAAAATATTTACTTATCCCATAAAATAAATGCTACTCATGTAAGGTCAGATTTAATTCTCAATTGAAATTTTTATTCATAATAAGCAGCAGTAAGGTGAGCATTGGAACATCCAGGTTTGTAGCTAGATGATGAGCCAAAAAAGGGAAACTAATATTTACTGGATTTCTACTATGTACCAATTATTGTGTGAGGTGCTTTTACATGTACCAATTTTTTTCTCTAACATTTTATTAACATGGACAAAAGCATAGTGCAATAGTTGACTTTGTTTTTTATTGTTCTTTTCTTTCAATAGAACTATTATTTATATTTTGTTACATGAATGTACACATACACACAGGTAAACCCATTTTGCGGTGGACGGGGTTTATGTCATTTGAAGGCAAATTGAAGATTTCATGTCATTACTCTTATTACATGTACCATTTCTTAACCACAGTCTTTTGTCTTCTAAAAAAAAAAATGATGGTATTAAATTAGATGGTCACTAAAGGCTCTTAGATTCAAAGTTTATAATGCTAAAGGAATCTAATAGAATGGAAAGGAACAAGCTGTACTCACCTATGCCACTTGCCCAGAGTCACTAGCCAGTCACATAAGCACTCAAATCTCAGTCACTTCACATATGAAATTACTTGTTGGATTATTCGTCCAACTTCTCATTCAACAATGAGGCCTAAAATTCCAAAAGGTGTCTTTGAAGAAACATTAGCAGATGTTTTCATTTAAACTAAATGAAAGCCCACTCATCCTGTGATTAGGGCAGGCTGAGTTATCTGTGATATTACGTGAAATTACTACATACCATCAGTTATTGAAGATCTGAGTAAATAGTGAGAGCACCTCGTTTTACTGAGTTAGAGTAATATAATTTTTTGAGTGAATAAAATGTCACCAAATTCTGAGAAATACATGAAGAAAACACTCAGTTTTGGTCTTCCTGGTAATTTCTGTTAATAGGCAAGTAAATAAAAACAGTATGATTGGTTAATTTTCCACAGGTATCATTTTTCATGGGCTACTAAAGCACTCGAGAAACTGGACAGTGTAAGCAAATAGTTCCTCTGAGTCTCTGTGGTTGAGGGTTGAGACGACTGGGAGCAGCCGAAAGTGGAAAGACAGGAACACTGCCTGTAGCCGCCTTGGGAATGAAAGCTCAGTTCTGAGGACATGGAAGCAAGTGGCAAATGTACAGTGAAGAAGGAGAAGATCCAAGTGACTTTGCCTCAGGAACAGAAGAGGCAGGAGGTAGAAACTGAGAGTAAACACTTAATAAAACCTGAAGCGCTCAGGGGAGTCCTCAATCTACCTTAGATAAACAAACAAATAAAAATAATAGATGAAAACTGAGAAAGCACTGATAACTGATCTGTAGCAAACCACCAAAAATATGCATTCACACCTCCTACACTGAATACAAAGAAAGCAATGCTAACCTTGAGTGGGTAAATAAGCATATATTCATTTCAAAGATAAGAATAAGAAAAATGTTAGTGGAATAATATAATTTGACTTCTCCAAGTATGAGTCATCAGTTTTTTCAATATGGCCCAGGGACCTCAAGGAGTCCCTAGATCCTTTCGAGACACCCATGAGGTTGAAACTATTTTCAAAATAATACTAAACTGTTAGTTTCACTCTCATTCTCTCCAGAGTGCCAAAAGAGTGTTCAGAAGCTACATGACATGGGATAATAGCAGAGCTTTGATAGCTAGTGGACTCTCTGCCTATATGTTTTTGTACATAATAATTTCTCAGATTCAATTTCTGGTCTGATAAATGGCAGTAGGTATAAGCTACAGAAACAAAAGTTTTTTGGAGTCCTCAATTTTTCAGAGAAGAGAGGAGAGCTAGAAACCAAAAGGTGTGAGAAACCACTGTTTTAAGGCAGAGTGCTGCCATTCTGCGGCTAAATTAGACCAGGGACTTTCAGTAATAAAAGCTATCTCTTAGCTTATCAAGAATAGTCAATGAAAAGACAGAAAAATGAGATTAGCAGGTTGTGGTTTTGGAGGGGTGCGTGGACAGTTTGTTGGGGATTTCAGTAGAGTATAAGATAAACCCATCATTAAAATACAGTTGACTGCAAATCTGCAGGCTAATTTATGGATTAAAAAAAACTAGTTCTATTGCTTAAGATAACTGTCACTAGGTCTTCTTAAACAATTTAACAACCACGAAACAGATTTATATTAATGATCCTTACCAAAATTCAGTCAAACAGATAGAAATGAAAAGATTGACTTTTATATTATAGGAAAATAGTGGCAGATTCTTGGGGGTGTTAATTTTGTAGATAAAGTGACCATAAAATCCTGGGGCTACTGAAAGGTATACAAACCTTAGAACTTGCAGAAGTCCTAACTATTGCTTACAAACTGAACATTGAACTTTTTCTCTTGTTGGCTTCTTATTTTCGTATCTTTAAGGAAAGATCATTTTAGAACCATAGACTAATCTAAGGCTAGAGTCAATCCGGTCTACCATACAATACAGTGTAATCTGCTTTCTACATTGGACCCTCTCTCAGGAAGGGCTTGAATTGATTCCTGCCTCCCAGTGGCAGCTCATTGACTCACTCTCTGAAGCAGATCATTTCCTGGGAAAGCTGGATGCAGGCCCCACACTGGCTTTTAATCTCCTTGTAAAATTAGCAATCCCGTTCTTAGGTATCATTGTGCCTGAAGTTTTGTTAAAAGTGGAGCAGTTAAGGAGAGGTCTGAGAAAGCAAAAAAAAGCAAAAAAAGAAACATCACCTTCTCACAGACAAATGCCAAAGACTTTAGAATAAATACGTGCACAAAGCAATTTTCTGAAATGGCAACTGGTGCATCTTTTTTTTTTTTTTAAAGATTTATTTATTTATACAAGCACTGGGTACAGTCAGAAGCGCAGGAGGGTGAGAGAATTCACCAGAGCCAGAGCGGGGAACAGAACAGGCAGACTGACTGAAATACACTGCTGAGGGGAACAGCGGGCGCGGCAGGAGAGGTCAGCGCGCCATGTGGGACACTTGCAGGCCCCCGGGGATTGAATCGGGGCTGCATAGGCTGCAGGCAGCTCTGCAGCCCAGTGCTCAACCGCTGCGCCACCAGGGAGGCCCACAACTGATGCATCTTAATCACCAATTCAGACTCCACGATAACCCAAAGCGCAAGTTCTTGAAATTGCACATTGTTTTGTGGACTCTGAAGTAATAATTAGGAATGTTGTTCAAGAGTGTTTCTTTATTAGTCATAGGACGAAACTTAAGAGAAGTCAGTTAATTCTTCAAATCAGTGAATAATTTTCAGAAAAACACTGGGTAATAGATGCTATCTCCTTCTCTAGATTTCTTGGAATAGTCAAATGATAAAGAAATATTAGATTATAATGGCCTTAGTGCTAAGAAAAAAAAGTAAAAGCAGGTTCTAAACTGTATACAATAGTCTGTATATACTTGGTACTAGACTTTATGCATACATACAGTGCCTGTGAGAGTAATTATGCTTTAACATCAAAAGACCCTGAGTCATGACAAACATAGGATAAAAAGCCAAAGTGATACACTTTGAAAGACATTATGAATCAAAATCAAATTTTGCATTATAAGGTAAATGTAAGTAATAAAAAGCCCCGCTCTTTTTAACCATGTCCAATAACTGAGTACTCTGGGACCAACCCCAGGGTCAGCTAGCCGAGCAACACTGTCAACCAGTAATACTGGTTTAAAAAAAAAAAAAAAAAGTGAAAATCAGAATAGCCATCAAGCAACATATGCTATTACAATCATAAAAATTAAAACAAAATTTTTCATCAGCCCTTATCAGTGAGAACAGTTCTATGTACTGGCCTTCTGTTAATCAGTGAAAAAAAATAGCATTTTAATATTCTAAGGTCCTCAGTCCCTTTGAGAATTAAATAGGCTTTAACTTCTAGCTGATCCTACATAGGACATTGTCTTTGAAATATTTGCTGACCTCATGAGAGATAGAGAAAAAAACTATCCAAAGCAACAAGAGTAGCAAAACAAACAAAACCAATGTCATGAGCTGTGAGCTGCATAAAGGGTAGGGTTTTCCTCAAGCTAGATGTCCAAAGGAGTCCTGAACTGCAACATTGCCCCAAAGTCAAAGACCTCAATACTTGTGAGGTCTTTCAAAAGTATTATCAGTGTTCAGAGTCCTCAGAAAAGGAAGGGCAACTGAGTGATAGCTGTGATAGCTTTTGTGTTTTTTTTTTGTTTGTTTGTTTGTTTTAAAAGACTTATTTATTTATTTATTTATACAAGCGCTGGGTACAGTCAGAAGCGCGGGAGGGTGAGAGAACTCACCAGAGCCAGAGCGGGGAGCAGAGCAGGCAGAAGGACCGAAGTACACTGCTGAGGGGAGCAGCAGGCGGCAGGAGAGGTCTGTGCACCATGTGGGACCCTCCTCCGGTGGCCTGGGAGCAGCCAGGGATCGAACTGGTGCTGCAGAGGCTGCGGGCAGCCTTGCAACCCAGCACTCAACCGCTGCGCCACTGGGGGTGCCCATGAGTGATAGCTTTTGAATTGAGCCAGGATTCTCTAGAGAATGATTATAATCCAGTGGCAACCATAGCTTTCAACAGAAGCATCTGCAAATTCACTTTGGAGGGTAATTCCCAATTTACACCCTATAGGAATCTTACAGTTTAAGGTAAAAAAATGAGATCAGAGTATCAGCACATACATAAGAAGGCAATCAACGTGAATGACATTCATCAGAGATAAGCTAACAAAAACGAATTTAATGCCCTCTCCTCCACCCAAGGAGAACAGACATTGGGGTTGCCTGATACAGAATGTAGAACAGCTATATACAAATTGTTTAAAGAAAGAGCAGAATCACAGTAATGAACAAGCAACAACAGACTTTGAGGCGTGACCATGCAGATTTGAAAACAAACCAAGGGAAACTTCTAAAAGTGAAAAATATAATTATTGAAATAAAAATTCAATGGAAGGTTTAGGTAGCATACTGGGCACAGCAGAAGAAAAAATTACTGAACTGGAAGATATATACAAAGAAATTACTGAGGATGAGACCAACAATGTCTTAAAGAATAATGTCCCATTCAGAATCTGCTATAATTTAAGCCTCTTTTAGTTCTTGAAGGATTCATAGCGTCTTTAAATATTAATAGGTTATGTTTTCTTCACTGATGAGGGTAGAACAATAGTACACAGAACTTTCCTCACTGATGAACTTTGGTGAGAAATGTTTGCTTTTTACTTTTGCCATTGTAATTATATGCTTTTGTAGCTATTCTGATTTTTTACTCTTGTAGCCAATATTAGTGAGTAATTATGACAATAAAATATAAAATATAAAAGAGAAGCTCAAAAATAAGACTAGATTAAGAAGGTCTAACACTTATCTAACTGGCATCCCAGAACTGATGAACAGGGGCATGATGTAGATAACAATGTCTAAGAAGACAAACTAAAGGAAATCCATGCCTGGAACACTGCAGTAAAACTGAAGAATACTAACAACAGAGGGCAGATACAGGCCATAGTATCAAATAGGGTGGGAATCCCTTAAAAATTGAAGGTACTGAGAGAAATGGCCAAATGTATTTTTAGAGGAGGAGCCTTCCACCTGATAAAAGAAGTCAAGAGAGATGGATTTGGCTTGAGAAAACTGAGAGGATGGAGTTATATCAACTGAGATGGAAGAAGTTGTAGATGAAATAAGCTTATAGGCTAAGATCAGGATCTCAGCAGTAGACATGCTGGGTTTGGAGATGGTGACTAGATTTCCAAGTGAAGATGTCAAGTAAGCAGTAGAACATATTTGTCTAAATTAAACTATAGAAATCTGGATAAAGGCAAAATGCATGTCAGTGGCAGAACCAACTGTAGGCCAGTGCTTTTTGTACCAGAGTCAGATAAATTTGAAAGAATTAAGAATTGAGTTTCATTAAGATGAACCCAATAGGAATGCTTTGAACCAAAATATGAAGTTAGAAAACCTTTATAATTAAAAAAAATTTTGAGGTCTTTCAAAAGTATTTAACAATAACAGTCCAGTTATTCTGAAATCAACTTATTTGCTATTTTGGGATAGTAATTGATTTTCTGAGGACTTATGTATTACCTTTCATGTCATTTCCTATTATCTCTCTCTCTCTGTAGGTTATAGTAACTAAGGGGCATTCCTTCCACTGCATAAATAAATGAAATGAATTCTATAGGAAATTATGCAACATAGAGAATTCCAAAAAATGAACCACATGTGGATTTTTCTTGGCCCTGATCATGTTTTCGAATGAAATGATTATAACTTTGCCAAACTGCTTAGCACAATTATAAAGGCTGGGGCATGCTGTTGGAATGAGTTGCAGAGAGACTGAACTGATTACATGGTATTTTATTTGCATTACAGTAAACCCAGAGCACTTCTTAGTGCATGCTGAGCTCCAAGGGTAGAGCCCAGATATGTTGAATGAATGACATCAGTTGGCTGTAGTCATTGCCTAAGAAAGCACACTGGAGACCCTCTGGTTCTTTATTTTATAGCAAAGAAACTGAGCTCCAGAGAGGTTGTGTGACTTGTGTAAAGTCAGCAGTGATAGACTGTGTCAAGCAATGACCTTTCCTGATACCCGGGCCAATGTAACTTCAGCCCTAGGTGGCTGCTTCCGTGTAACCATTTTAAACACAGTCCAACTGAGACTTAAAATTGGCTTTTTTTCTTTCCATCTCCCTTTGCAGGGTTTCTTCCGGAGGACAATCAGATTGAAGCTTATTTATGATAGGTGTGATCTGAACTGTCGGATCCACAAAAAAAGTAGAAATAAATGTCAGTACTGTCGGTTTCAGAAATGCCTTGCCGTGGGGATGTCTCATAATGGTAAGTGAATGCTTAGCACCACATACTTACTGCTCTTGTCACGGCTGCCAGAGCAGACATTAGGTCTGCTGCAGGAAATACATACTGTTTTCCCACAAAAGACCACACTCAGACTATTGCATGCTGATAAAACGTTTCTCCATTAGGTCAGCATTTTAAAACTTTTAGTACAGATCCTTCGCTGTGGTTTTGTCTTGCTTTGTTTTGGGGCATCTGCCATGATGGAAGAAAAAAAATAGCATTAAAAGCAAAATTTTGCTGTAAGTGTTTTAGTAGGTTCTACTTTAAAATATAAGAGAGAATTCTGGATATGTAACTTTATGTGACCTCTCCAAATTTAGATTTATGTGCTTATTTTTCCCTCTTCCTATGCAAAAATGATTAGGGCACTATCCTCAACACTATTTTGTGGATAAAGCAAATAGTTTTAAAGTTCCCCAAGACTCCAGTATTCATAAAAATGCCAAGAGAGTAAAACTGTCTACTTTGTAAGCCTTTATCTAAAACCTTCTAGCTTATGCTGTTTAGTGTTGAGTTAAGGGAAAGAATGGAGAAGACTACATTTCTATGAGCTGTTGAACTAAGTAAAATCATGGAAGTTGGGTCTATTGGAAGAAAAGTTCTTCATCATCATTTGACTCTGGTTGACTAATTCATGAAGCTAAGTTTAGATATTACTTCACCATACTGTTAGTTCTTTCAAAACATTGTTTTGGGCTCAAGAAATACAAAATGCAATGAGATCAAATTCAATCCAAAGTCTCATTTCCTTGGCTCTCCTATTTTTTCTTTGTTCTGCCTCCACCTCTCTCAAAACTGATCTGTTAAGAAAATAATCTTTGAAGTCAGTCTTCATCAATAAGGACTCTAAGGCATCTGTGAAAATTACATTTTCTATCACGCTTATGTTTGGATTTCACAGTAAAAATTATCAAGCTATTTGGAGATCACTGATTGATATGCTACCCTTAAAAGTAGTTTATAAGATTATATTAATATCATGAACATGGGGTCATTTCCTTTAAGGGCAAAAACATTTTGAATAGATGTATCAGCTAAACTGGACAAGATGGAAATTTGGTCCAATTTTCCTCGACAATTGATCACATCTGCTGTGTCACAGTATATGATGCAGTCACTGGTTGCAAAATACTTTGCTGGTATAAATCCATCCATTTTCTTTTCATTTCAGACCTCATAAAACATAAGGGCACATTGTTTTAAAGTCAAGGGTTATATTTTAGGTGATGCAATCAAGTTGCAATAAGCTTATTTTATTTATATGAAGAAATCTTTGACTTTGAGGTCATTACCCCTAAGGTAGCCTAGAAGAGCACGCCAGCCCTGCTTGCACATGTTCATTGTTTAAGGCAACTAATATTTAAAGCCCAACCATATATAGTATTGATAGTATAAGTTTCTCTTCCCAGAAAAGTTCAAAAGAAAACAACCATGAACTTGATAATAAGGTCATCTTTTGACTTCATGTGGCAATAAATTTCTTCTATTTAGTGAGAGGAGCAGTCTTGAAATGTTCATTTAGTTCTTTCTGCAAAGGTTAAAAAAAATTAAATTTTCTGGCATCAAAGACTTAGGCATTTGACATTAACAGGCTTGCAAACCTGACTCAGTAATCCCTTCTCAGAGGATTTGATGGGACTGTGTTTGCTCCCCAGAAAAAGAAAACATCCATTTGACCTATACCCAAGAAAGGAAACTCAATACCTAGGTTTTGATTTGTGTTGCCTGTTATCCTGCTAACATTTCCAAATACAAAGTTCTCTGAGAGCTTGTGATAACTGTCCAAAGTTCATTGTTTTGGCCAATGTGAGGCCCACAGAATGAGATTTCCATTCATTTAGAATGCATTTTTATTAGTGTTTTATATGAATGGACCAAGTAATCAAAAGAATCATGCCAAAACCAGCACATGCCATCTTCAGCACACACGAGAAGAGATAACTTTTACTCCATTCTGTGTTACTTCTGTTTCTACTCCAGCTGATGTATCTAGCTTCTTCTTTACCCACTCCCAGCTTTGAAGGAGACTTCTGAAATAACCTTCAAGCAACCCTGAATCCCGGGGAAAGCTTGTTGGAGAATCACTGAAATCAATGATTGCCAAGTCCATTCAGCTTTGGAAATTCTGTGATTCTGTGTAAAACAAGCCACCTCGCTGAGTTTTTTTCACCTTTCCACCAAATTGTTCTGTATCTTACAATGTCAAACTTCCCAAGTATATATACATGTTGATTTTCAACAATGAATACCTGAAACTTATCTAATCTTATAATGCACTGTTACTTCAATCTCAAAATTAAAAAAGGAATTTTAACTAGTGAGTATTTCATATGTTGAGTTGCTTTTCATGTATGAACCAAATAATAAAATAGTAACTGTAGGCTATCATTTAAAATAATTGTCTGAAGCAAAGAATTGATTTAGGTTGTTTTCCCTATATTACTGAGTCCTGAATACAAATTATATTTTTCATAAATATAAAAATTAGTAAAATGTCAGTTGCTGACTAGGATGTCCTATTACATAAAAGATGTTTTTTTTTCTTCATTTAAAGAAAAAAGAGAGAGAGCTGACAGCTTTCAAAATAATTTCTCAGCAGCTTCATAAAAATCCACAAAAATGGTTTTACAAATGTTTGTGCCACTCAGTGTTTTCCAGGTCGTTCTCTCCTTCCTTGTAAACAAGCTCTATTGTATATTGAAAAAGAAGAGAGCCTGAGCGACGAGCAAATTGAACATTCAACATAGGACATTTTCTTTCTTTAGTCTTCTGTGTAGTATAAGGAAAATTACCCAGATGTTAGCTCTCGAAAATTCAACAGTAAAAAGTCCTGAATATCATGAACACACGCGGTGGCTGTGGTACCCAAGCCCCTGACCTTGGTGATGCCCCAGCTCATGCCCCCTCCTCCAGCCACCCTTTCTCCACTGACATGTCAGGCAACTGTGTCTTCTGCAAAATGCCCGCAATGGAATCCCTCTGGGCCTCTGTTACGTCCTGCGGCTCCCTTTCAAAATTTTGCCTGGCATTCAGATGTCCTCTCCTCCGTAAGATTTTTCTAATGCCCCCTCTTCCTCTTTATACCTTTCCTGACACCATACTTAATCTTATAAAGCAAGGGAGTGATCTGAGTTATATCACCAAAAACTAAAACACTGACAGCAGTGAACAGGATCACTTAGAGAAGGGAAATCAGAGGAATTCACCAGGCCAATGCACTGTTATGAGCTAAGGCATTGGGAGGGGTGAGGAGAAATGAATTAAGAGAAATGGCAGAGCAGTGACCCGTGACTACAAGCCTCTGAGAGCAGAGATGTCGTCTAGTTTGGGCAATAGAATGAATTAACCCAGAAGAAAACAGAAAGAGGAGGGAGTTTGGAAGCAAAATTGAAAGTTCCAGTTTATAGTGCACTGGTGTTGCAGCATTCATGTATGACAGAATCTAGGGAGAAGTGGAAAAATAAAGATCCATGTCTCAGGAAAGAATGAGCAAGTCCTCTGCACATTTTGTGAGAGAGAAGATCAGACTCAGAACAAAAGAATGAAAGTGAAGGAAGAGGGACTTGCAGGCAGAAAAATAGGACCAGAAAAGCAGAAACCAGCCTGAGAAATTTTTCAAGGGTGGAGAAGTTCAATCAACAATGTTAAAGGGGGTGGGGAGTTGGCGGAACACTAGCAAGATCAAGTGAGATGACAGCTTGGAAGAGTCCCCTAGATCTGGCTGTGAGAAAAGCATTAGGGACTTTTAAGAGCAACATTTCAGTGCACTTGAATGGGGCAAAAGCTAGAATGGTGGGTTGAGAGGTAAATAGTTGGTGGCAGAGAGAGAAGACAACACTGTCAGCAGCTCCAGTGGTGGAGGAAAGATAACTTGAAGGGGTAACATTAAGGTGGGAGCCTTCAGCACCCACTTGTTGGTAAGAAAGGATCCAGGACAGCAAGGATTTGGCCCCTGCTAGACGCAGCCTTCTGGCCTTTGGATCCCGGCCCCGTCCGGCCAGCACTGCATCTGCCAGGTGTTCGGTGGATGAATGAAGTGGTGTCAGGTGAGACTGCAGGAATGGGAGATTGAGTCAGAGGTGAGACAGGGACATTTTGCTCATCTCTACTTTGGACAGAGGTTTAAATGTCCTCTACAGATAGTGTGGAGAAGGCCTGCCCTGCCTGAAAATAGCTTAATACTGGCACTAAGGCTGCTCCTTGTTTTGCTTTAGCGGAGGCTAGAAAATGATGGTTATTTCATTGCCCAACCCTGCAAAACCTCAAAATGCACAGTGGAAAAACATAACTTACTGGCAATAGCTATAGAAAAAGCAGTAGTGTCATGTCAATCTTGTTTATGTGATAAGACTTTTGCAAAATAAACTTGTTAAAAGTTGAAAACTGACCATGAGACAGACTGATGTGATCACCAGTGTACCCCTTAGATGTTGGGGGGCAGAACTGTTTTTGACGATACTCAATTTATTCCTTCCTTTTTTACAAAAATTTAAATATTGTTTTGAAAATCTGCTTTAAAATCTTGGTAAAGAAGTAGCATTTGTCTTTAAGGTTCCTATAGCTAAATAGGTGTTTTTAGAACTTGTCACTCAGAAACATGAGTTGGTTGTCAGCTCTCTGTCCAGTAGAAGTATATTTAAATATTCCATGGGCTTGAGTCTTGTGTGATCACTCACTCTGTACTAAGTACACAACGTTGACTGTCATGTGCTGGTAATGAGAAGCATTCAGCTCAGAAAGAATATATTATATGAAGGTATGCTGCTGTGCTCTCTCAGCAATTAATGAGCCTCTACCAAACCTATTCTTCCTGAAGGGTGCATGCTGATTCTGTTATTAACTTAACTTAAACTAATAAAAGGTTATTGAGCACTTACTTACCCTATTCCAGTCACCATTTTAAGATTTTTACATATAGTAAGTCTTTTCATCTTCACATTCACCATACAATAGGTCCTGTTATTATCATTCTCATTTTATAGCTGGAGTATTGACTTTTTGAACCAAGATACTTGAACTATCTGTAGATGGTTAGTAATCCTGAATAGGACTCTGAATGCCAATGTTTTAGAAGTTACTGTGCATAACAGGTGCTTAGTCTCCAAAACAGAATGTGCCCTTTTGTTATTTTTCCCCAAAGCAGCTAAGACTGGATAAATATTACTTCAAAACAGAGAGAGCATAGCGTGTTTCCCAGTACTATGTGTCACAGATTTGTGACACACATTTTAGAAGCAAATTTGGAGTTAAAAGAAGGAATCTTGGATATCTTCTTTTCTTAATCCCCCATCCTGGAAACAAAGCAATCGAAGAGCAGGGAACTCGGCCACTGACCTCGCTTTCCACTGAACTCACACTAGAAAGTAGACTTGTGGCTCCTTCGAGGGCGGAGTTCATTTCACTCCCTTCCAGTGAGTCTTGGTGGAACACAGGGCATTTTCCTTTTGCCTTTTAAGCAGTGATAGAAAATGAGAAGGATGTAATTGTCTGTGGACACACTCAGCCTTTATATTTCTGGCCCCCCATCTAGAACATTCTCTTGTATTTCTAAGCTCTAACTTCAGTCTTATGGAAAGCAGCAAGCCAAAGGGAGGATCGCTCCCTCTTCTTGGTTCTCAGACTCTCCACCAATGTATGGACAATGAAGATCAAGAATTACTTACTGACAAACCCCATTCCCTAAACAAATGGATGGCAGAGAGATGGGAGAGGTTTTCTGGGGTCATTCTTTATGGGGAGGCACCAGGGTTGCCATCCTGGTCTGTAATTCATAGCAACTGTTGCCCAGACCCCTTCATCCACAAGTAACAAAAGCTGCGTTTGTTAAGTGTGCGCTGTGTGCCAACCACTGTGGTCAGCACTTCCTGTGCTTCCTGTCTCACACCTTACATGAGGCAGGTTAGTGTTGCTATGTTGCATTCAAGAGCAACAAAATGAAATTGGCTTTTTCTCCCTTAACATGCATACACACAAGAAATTGTCTTTGCAACTTCAGATTTCTGTATGCTTTATGCAGATTTAGTTCAACCAAAGGGATGTATTCTTCATTCCTTTTGTTGAATCTTGGGTATGTAAAAATGCTAAAACCGCCTATATAATAGTTGCATTTAACAAGACAGAATATTTGTTAAAATTTAGCCTTTGGGGAAAATTTCCATTTGTAAAAGCTCACATTTTATTTAGACTATAATAAAAAATGCTTTTGCTTAATTATCTCCTAGTTCTACAGTGATAGTTTAGAGTTGGTTTTTATTGTTTTTTGTTAGTTATGGAAAAGCATGAATAACAAATGTAACAAGTGGCTGCCTTGAGCTGTTTACCTTTTTTGACTACCTATTAAGAAAAAAGTGCTGTCCTGGGCATGTGAACATTTGTGTATATTTAATTTATTACCTGTGAGAATGTAATCAGAGCCTGGAACAATGTCTGGCACATAGTAGGTGCTCAATAACTGTTCACTGAGTGCAGCGACAGTACTGCGTGTGCTATTAAATAACTAAAGTCAAAAAGTAGCAGATACCTGGTGATTCCAGCCACAAAAATCTCTCTTTTATTTATAGAACTGATTTTTGACAAGTTTTACACCAAAATTTCTTCTACTTTTAACTTGCCATAATTCTTACCAGGTGCTTTCTCTCATGATTATGCGCCCAAACTCCCCAGTATACATACTATCTCATTTTCTGTTTTTTAATCTAATTGCGTGTAATTTAACTCATGAACATGTATTGCATACCTACTGTGTATATTTGTTGCAGCCAGGAACAAAGAAGAGAAAACCTGGTACTTGTGTCGTTAGCAATCTAGTAGAACAGCCCACATGTGCAGCTGATACAGCCACACCACAGAAGCCCGACACTTAGCAAGTTTTTTCTAAACTGTCCAAACCCAACTTTTTGGTACATTTCTAATTGGGTGTGGGGGGTTATAGCAAAATATATCAAACGATGCCAGGGTGCTCTCACTTCCCTCTCTGCCTCACTCCCTCCCCGACCAAAACTACTGATGGACAAGCAGGACATACAAGGAAGCAAGAGGCTGCAGCACATCACAGGAAAGGGGTCCCGTGGGACCTAGACACAGCTCAGGGCAGAGGGGTGGGTGGCTGAGATCAGGACATGAGTAGCTATTGCCCGTCCCTGTGGAGCTAAAAAGAAAGAGAAGGGGGGAGAGTGAGTGGGGAGGCAAGAACTATCAACCCCAAATGGTGGTGTTTAAAGATTTCCATTTGAAAGGGTCACTGGTCCTGAGAGGATAGGATGGATCTAGGCTAATTTCATTTAAGGGAATCCTGACTGAGAGGTAAGATTCTCCTCCCCTCTAACTCAGAAGCCTCTAAGGAGGCCCCTGCAACCCAACAACTGTGCTAGTTGGCCATAAAGCTTCTTTAAGTTCAACTGAAATAAATTTATGGATTTGAGACTCGTGTGCAAAGCAATCTCTTCTCTAGCAAATTCGGAATAAAATTCTCTGAGTACTCAGATGGGAACGTTTCATGTACTTTTATGTCTTATGGTTGAAATACTGCCTGTAGCATAATGACTTACAGCAAGCAACTGCCTATTTTTTTGTTCTTGTATCCACAGGCAGCTAAGTGCTAGGGGTGGAGATGTATAGACAACTCTGGAGTTGGCACTCCAATGCTGGGTGGGCAGTGTAATAATAGGGCTGTAATAATAGGACCAAATGCCCTTTTTGGGGGGAAATGCAGAGTCCAAAGTGTGGCCTGAAAGCCACCTTATTTTGCAGATGGTGTTGATAGGAAGAAAAAATAATCACTAAATTTGAAAGAATTACAGATAATATGGTTCCCCGCCCCAAACTCTTCTTTGCCTGTCTTCATTAGGTTTTCTTCTTCCATACTTCTTCACCCCACAGGAAGCCAAATGTTAAGGAAATGTCTTTTTGGCGGAAGAGCGTCAAGTGGTAGTCCTGAGAGCCAGTGGGATAATTATGGCTTCAGTCCACTAAATGTAAAAGTGCTCTCTGACCTAATGTGTGCATGCATACTGCTTTATAACACGGACAGTACAGATCCCTGAGAACAAAGCCTGTGTCAGTACAGCTTTTAATTTCTCACTGTCCCTTCCTTTCATTCCTGATGACTCATTCATTGATCTTTTAAGGACAGTAGCCTGGCCATGGGTACAAAGAGGAGTAAGACATTGTCCCTAGCCTTCTGGTGTACAGGCATGTACAGTGCTTAAAGCACAGTGTGAAGTTGCTGTCACTGAAGTATGTACTGTGGCCTGTGGGCATACAGGGAAAGGAAGAAGCAGTCAGGGAAGCCTCCCAGAGAAGGGGATGTTTGAATTGGGTCTTTTTTTTTTTTTTAAAAGATTTATTTATTTATTTATAGAAACACTGGGTACAGTCAGAAGCGTGGGAGGGTGAAAGAATTCACCAGAGCCAGAGCAGGGAGCAGAACAGGCAGAGGACAAAGTGCACTGCTGAGGGGAGCAGCGGGCGGGCGGCAGGAGAGATCTGCGCACCATGTGGGACCCTCACCCAGCGGCTGGGGATCGAACTGGCGCTGCAGAGGCTGCGGGCAGCTTTACAACCCAGTGCTCAACTGCTGCACCACCAGGGAGGCCCCGAATTGGGTCTTGAGGGATGAATAGGAGCTAGCTCTTAGTTATCTCAAGTAACATGCTTCCCTTTCTTGGCTTTCTTGGCTTCTCTCATCTTGGCAGGATCATGCATTCCTTTTTTATTTTTTTTTAATCTAGGAAGTGAACAATTTAATTTTTACTGATTGCCTCTGCTATTGTTGTGAAATGCAAAGTTGCAGATAGAAACTAAAATTTGAGATGGGTGGGAGGAAGGAGGGGCTTTTCCTCTGTGGGCACCAGGCTGGGGGAGAGCAGTGTGCATTTGGAGCTGCAATAATTCAGTGATTCATCCTGTCGTTTCTCTTCCTCTGTAGCCATCAGGTTTGGGCGGATGCCACAGGCCGAGAAGGAGAAGCTGTTGGCGGAGATCTCCAGCGATATCGACCAGCTGAACCCAGAGTCTGCTGATCTCCGGGCCCTCGCCAAACATTTGTATGACTCATACATAAAGTCCTTCCCGCTGACCAAAGCAAAGGCGAGGGCCATCTTGACAGGAAAGACTACAGACAAATCAGTTAGTTCTCTTCTGCTGTCTTCATTGGGGGGACCGGGCTTGTTGTTTTTTTTCCCTTTGAGTCAATGATTTACCAGGTTACACACCCACTGTGTTCAGCTGTTGGCTGTTACAGATTGCAGGCTGGGTCTGAAATACAGGAAAGGAGATGTTTTAGACAGGATAAGTACACTTGATTTTGAAGAGGAAAAACATCCTTGAGGCTCTCCTAATGAGAACTTCGAGAATATTATTAAAATGTACCGGTTATCTTAACTTTAAAGAATCAACACAAACTCTCCTAACCCTGCCATCCCCTCAGGACCCACCTCTCTTCATGGCATCAAAATAACTGGCCACAACTTCATCCATTCAAGCAACCCTGCTTTTCTCTGGGAAGGGACTGACCTGAGTTTGCGAAAGGTGTTTGGTCCCCTTATTTTACCTTTTAGGAGAACTGCTAGAGTTACCTCTTAGGAAGTTCCCCATGGGGCATAAAAATACATTCCAGATATGATGTTTTTCTCTTTCCTTCTGGCACTCTCTTGCTTGCTCTCAGATACTAGAAGCCCTGTCATTTTACTATGACTTTGCACTGTCTGGGTTATTGCAGTGCATTCTCAAACTTCTGCAGCCTCATTACTGACACTGTCTAGAAATCCTGGTGTGAATTACATTTGCTACTGAGTCAGATTTTCCAAAACATTTCCTGATAGGTGGCTGAGAAAGTAATGTGGATTGTATTCAAATAAAACACAGCCACACCTGAATGCTAGCCCTACCCTACACTCAACTTGCAGTGGACCTGGGTTGCCTCTCCATACCTAAGTCCCTACAGGCAGGGTCTGGTTTTGTTGATAGTATCTGCAGCAGGTTTCCAGGATAGTAAGAGCCACAGAGCACATTCAGAAGACACCATCCCAGGCCTCAAAAGCTCCTACAGAGTCCTTTATTTTCAAATTTCAAGACATTTAAGCGAATACTTGCTTGACTTTTTCCCCACTCAGTTATATTTTTGAGAAAATTTTCTTAGTCTTTAATGCATTTGGAGGACGTTACTTTTTCCTTTTAGCTTAAATAATAAGAGTAGAATCAGCTTATAGAAAAAGAAAACTCCTGTGAGGTATGTTTGTGTAAAGAGCCAAGTGCCAAGAAGACAGTGAGCTCTCTGGCTGCACAAGAGGTGGCTGCTACCTAACAGTGTTGTACTCACCCAGTTGTTTTTTAGCACTTTGCACATTTGTTATATTCAAGATACACAGCCGTTTTACGGCTGCTGCTATGGTCCTCTTTTTAAGATTGAGGAAACTGAAGTCCAGAGAGGGGGAGCATTTTGCCCTGTGTCATGCGGTTAGGTGGGGATGGACCAGGGCTGTGGAAGGCCTTCCGACTTCGGTGCCCCTGAGCGCCTGTCCTCTGGGGAAACTGCTTTCTCCCCTGGCTAGCACTGCCCCAGGGGACCAGCTTGCTGGGAAAGTTGCACAGGAGGAAACATCCCTGGTTGGGATTCATTTTTATCAATTTTTAGGAATTTTCCACCTGGCCCACAGAGGATGCACCCTAGGGAGGCCGAGTCTGAGTTCCTTACATGAAAAAACCAGGGCATAGCAAAACCAAAGAGGGTGAAGACCTCTGCTAGCTGATTTGATGATAGAAAGTAAAACCACTTTCATTTAGTGGGAGAGAAATTAAAGGACAACTAGAGTGAAGTGGCTGGTGAAGTGGCAGACGTGGGAGCTGACAGGCACCACCTGCAGGGAGAGTGCTCTACAGCAAACTGTTTACACCACAGTTTTGCTTCCAGCCGCCCTGGTTTCCAGGAACTGCTTTCTTGCCTCTTTATCTCCCTATCCAGACCTGCAATCCCTGGTGGAAATCCGATCAATTTAATAGTACCTGAAAGATAGGAGGAAGGGTTTTATTTTTAATTTCCCCAGTAGTCAGGAATTTAAATTTACACTTCCCATAGCCAACATGCTGTTGTGTGTGTTACTGAAGGACACAGAGCCCACTCCACTTTAAAACCTCATGCCAGTTGATTCTTGGTTCAAAATCTTTGTGTTAAAAATAAGATAATTGTAGACTATAGAATTGATAGTTATTGAGCTATTTTAAGCGAAAGGGCTGCCAAATCCTTGATGATAGTCTCCTCAAGTTGGGAGGCCAAATGTTTGTCATGCCCCCCTCCCATAATGACTAGGGATGTGCTTTGCCTATAATAGTTCTCAGAATGTATTTGCTTAATTGAATTAAAAACTGCTGCTCATGCCCTTGAAATTCTGGACTTTCAACAGAAAGCCTTTAACTAGCCCAGTATTTGCTCACCAACCAGGACATGGTTATTCAGGCCATCATATGATCTGGATGGAGCTGAAGTGCCTCCTGTTAGGGTCTGGAAAGGAAAGAGAGACTGGGTCAAATTAAAATAATCCATTCCCTGATTATACAAAATCGAAATAGAATTATTTGGCTCTCTCTTTTCTCCTTATCTTGCAAAATCAAATTAAGCACTAGTGGAAAGAAATAGTTCAGAGAGGAATAGGGGAGAGGAAAAGAAAATCCAAAATGTGATTTCCAATGAGACGAGAGATTTGTTCTTTATCTTACATGGCCCTGTTATTCATTTGATAGCATCCATCTCAGGGGTGTTTTGCTATCTCTTGGCCAGAACTTTCGAAAGTGCAGATTTACATCGATAGGAAAAGTTTGCAGAGGCATGTGCTCTTGAGAGGGTGGGGGATATGAAAAGTGGCCAGGATGGTCACAGAGCAGTTTGGGTCTCATTAGACACCCTGTTCGCGCTGATGTCATGAGAGGTGGTCAGGCCAGCCCTGGGGGAGGCTGCTCGGGCAGCAGTGGCCAGTTATGCAGACCTTGGAAAGTGGCTGCATTGAAGAGCTTTTCATGAATCTTACCAGATGGCTCTGTTCCACCATGGCCTCTGCTGCCTGACTTGGGCCACAACCTCACCTTTCCTGTCTGCCCAGTGCCAGCATTTGCCTCCAGGTCAACCAGGTCTTTCCCTCCCCAACTCAACTTCCTTCTCCCCTATCTTATCCCCTTCTGCCACTGTTCACTTAAAACAGATAAGTGAACAGATAAAGCAAATGCTCCTGCTCCCCCGCTATCTTTTTACCTTTTATATCATATCTCTGTAATAAGATCACTCTATTTTTCTTTGTCTTACGTGAAAGAATAATGCTAGGGAATCTCAAGCTCAGGGCTAGGAAAGGCAGGATGTGAGATCACCAGACATGCAGAGAAAATCTTAGGAGAGAGAGTGTCCAGCCACCCTCACGTAGGGTCGCCACTGACTCCCACCACAGACTGTTTCCCTCGGGGTGGCCTGACCCAGTCCAGGTCTGTCTTTCAGAGATCCTCCTGAACTTGGGACTCCTGACTCTGCAGCACTGGGTGCTCTGTCACAGAAGGCAATCTGAGGACTGAATGGACTTTGGAAGTCCTGGTGTTTGCTATTACCTGGATGTGATGATCACACCGCGCCTATCGTGGTCACATGATCCCATGTTTGTAGACGAAAATAAACAGAGAGTGGTTTTCAAAACCCATCTCCAGCACTGTAGTTTGCCATAAGACCTAAGTAGAGGAGCCCTTGGTGTGCCTGCCAACTTCACCCCATATTGAGAGATGGGGAGGCCTTGGCTGCTCTGTCTCTCCGCCAGTGAGGAATAAAACTTATTGGTGCTTTGTTGCACTTTGGGTCCTGAGGCATCTCATTGCTTAGGCTGCAGCATGTGAAGTCGTTATTTTTATAATTACCAGAGCAAGCCAGTGCCGTCATAAAAATGGTTTTTCTAAATAGTGTATGAAATAAGACACTACTGAATAACAAAAACAATGTGGAAATATAAACTTCTGTGAAAACGGCTCTGTACCCATTTAAATGTTAATATTTAAACTTTACAGTGGCCATCAGATTTAGTAACTCAATCTTTTGGAAAGGCGTTTGTCCCTTTAAATCTCCCACTTACAGCTCTTTCCCCTTTATGTGTGGCAAAGCCTGAGTGAGATGAAATTTGCTCCTAAACTCTCAGGGCAGGAGGCTCAGGAGCCCCAGTATAAAGAGCAGGATAGTGGGGCTTTGTAAGTTAGGCTCCCGGGATGATCACCATAAATCAGTAATGGTAGTAAAATTAATTGCTTTATTGCCAGGGCCATCAGGAGTAACTAAAGATACAACCGATCTGAACCTGTTATATAGCTTTATATTTCTTTCAGACAATAAATAAAAGAGAAACTGTTACAGGGCAGGGGAACAGGGGAACCCCAGAGCCCCCAAACCTGTCACCCTGCCCCTGTCACCCTGCCCTGTAACATAACTATTTTACATAGTTCAAAAGAAAAACACTTGAGGGTTTTTTTGTTTTGTTTTGTTTTTTAAGATCAGGCCAATGCCTGTGTTTGCCAGCTGGTGACGTTTTGGCTGGGAGTAGATGATTTTGGTTTTTTAAAACCGTGGTTATGTGCTAGTTCATTAGAGTGTGAAAGATTCTTCCTCTTAAGTTTTTATTTGTCTTAAACCTATAAACCGTGCAGGAAAACAGCATTGCAGTTGATAGACTTGCATACTCAGACTGTGTCGCAAACAGCAGCTCTGGGAAGAGTTCAGAGCACTGCCTCCAGGGTCCCCAGGTGTAGGGCGCCTCCTCTCAGAGCCCTGTTCCTCACAGGATTGTTCTGTTTAAGAAGGAAAAGTGGGAAGATCTTGTAGAAGGCAATAAAAGGAGACGAGAACTCAGAGGCGGGAGAGCTGAGTTGTAGCCAGGGGCGACTGCAAGAGCCCTCTGACTTGGGAAGTCTCTTGGCTCCGCTGGGTGTAGTCACACAGAGAACAATGATAACGGGGATTTCTGAAGACCTCCTTAGTCCTGCAGATGCCATGGTTCTCAGCCACGGGGCTGGAAACCAGAACACAAGCCTTGTGTTTGGGGTTAACATTCACCTAGTGTATGTAGCCAGCGTGTCTAAAGGGTGAAAGTCGGTCAGAAGGATAAAAAGGAAGAAGGAAGCAAAATGAAGAAGACAGGCCCTAAACATGCCTGTTTCTTATTGAGCCTTTGCTCAGGGTAGTGTGTCTACTGCACTGATTTCAATCTCCCAAATCAGAGAAATCACCAGAATAATCTATGCTTTGTGAGTTGACTCTTGTTTATCTCTGTTAGCTTATTATTCTGTTATCCAGAAGGAGCTGTACACATAGATGGTTTGTGTATAATCCCTTTCGTAACTTGCATTTTATTTTTTTTTTAAAGATCCATTCATTTATACATATAAGAACTGGGACATAAGCCGGAGGTTTCGGGGGGTGAGAGGATTCACCAGAGACAGAGTGGGGAGCAGAACAGGCAGATCTACTGAAATACACTGCTGAGGGGAGTAGGGGGAGACAGGAGAGGTCTGCTGCGCCATGTGGGTCAGCTTCCTGGCTGGGGATCGAACTCATGCTGCAGTGGCTGGCGATAGCTTGATAGTGCTGTCTTTAACCCCTGCGCCACCAGGGAGGCCCCGATAGCTTGCATTTTAAAATGTTGATGTTATTGGATGACTAAGGAATACTCATTTCTCCCTTCAAAATAGTAACCTTTTTTCCTTCTACTTTACCCTTGTGTTATGTGTAGGAGGCACACAGTAGGTCTATAACTAGATTTAATTATCTGTCTAAAACAGTAGCTTTACTCCCATGTTGGCTTTGAGATGTGGAACCTTTAAAAAATGAAAATAAATTTTTTGGTCAACTCTCTCTTCAGAGAAAACTAATTTCCCTTTACAGAAACCAAATTACTTTCCTGAGAAATACTGTGTTCAGGTGCCATTTTCTTCTTCTTTCATTCTCACCTTTTCCTGGTACAAGCCTCTTACTAACCAGAGGCAGATTCACCATGAAGCTAATAAGGAAGCTCAGACTTTGTCGTCCCACCTTGCACTGAGCCTTGCCTATGCCCTGAAAGGGCCTGAGCTGTTTTGTTCTTATAGTTTTGAATTATTTTTCTTAAAGAAGATTCCAATAAGGGTATATGCCTTGTGTCCCACAAAACTTCCATCCATCCCTGACAATGTGCTAGGTATAATTAAGCCTTCCTTCTTGTAAGGGCGGGAGGTTTATCTGACCATGGCCTGTAGTGACTGACGATGAGTATTGTGTTAGCCCCCCACAAGAGGGGTCAAGTCATCAAAACCAAACCTGAAGACTAGGGCTCCTAGAAGGGCAGTTCATAGGTGATGTGGTGCAAGCTCATAGAGCGTGGAAGTCTTCTCTCGGCTTCATAGAAAACACCGAGGCGTGGAAGTGAAGGACATTTCATGGGGCTGTATTACCAGGACTGTCATATTAACTCAGTGGTTCAAGATAAATTCTACAGGGTCAAATTCCACCCATGGTTTTAAGTGATCAGCTCTCCCTAAAGCAGGTGGGCCACTGTCTTTCCGCTGAGTTTGAGGGTAATGAGGTCCCTCAGTGAAATGTGCACATTAACTACTGCAGTGTTAGAGCTGATGGCAAAGAAAGGCAGGTCGTGACTGGTGCTTGCTCTTGCGGTTGGACAGATCAACATGGAAGCCCACAGAATCAGTTCAGGCTTCACACATGCAGACAGTGTCATCAGCCAGTGTGCCTAGGAAACATCAAAACTGCACTGCACGTGGTGTTCATTTGCAAGTCAATCCCTAGACTTCTCGGCCAGTCTACCACTTTTTTAGAAGGCTGAAGGGATTACGAAAAAAAAAAAAAAAAACTGAAATGGTTTGGCATGATGGTGGGGCCGCTGATTCCCTTCTCTGTCCTTGAGTGTTTACTGCCAGGAAATCCTGACCAACATTGATTGCCAAGGGGTTAAAGTCACATTGTTGTTAAATTGGGAGAGAAAATTAGCAGGATTTTGTGCCCTATGTTCAATTATCACAGAGTTTCAAAAACAGGAACCTGGGGCTTTATATGAGGGGACAGGGGAAGTCGAGGGGAAGAGTCACAGGGTGATTTATCAGGGCACAGTTCCAGATAAATTGCTTACATGGAGGTGGAAGAATTTTATGCATACATCTTGTACCAAGCTGCCAAATGGTTGAGCAGAAGCTCATCCAAAAATTGAAGTAGGAAGTTCTGGGTACAGTCCTCCAGGAGGGGATGAGGTGATGACATTCTGTTCATGTGACTTGCACACATACACGTGCCAGTGCCTGTGCCATTAGCGTCTCCTGCGGTAAATTATTTCCATAGATTACAAGACAAAACTCCTGAACGACACAGACATCTCCAGGCTCGCCCACTTTTCTAGTGGTTAAACTCTGACACAGTGGAAAATCGGCACATCTTCATAGATGGGCCGTCTACGCTGCCCTTCTTTTCTCTCCCATAATATCAATCCTGATACTGGAGGGGAGAAAGGGAAGGGACTGCTGATTCCCTTGAAGAACTAGTTAGAGCCACCAGGCAGACTTACTCTTGGGTCCTCACATCTGCACTCCTTTGGGGTTTGCTAAAGAATACTATTCGATAGGAATTTTTTCATTTAAAAAAAAAGTAAGAATTTCTAGGCTAACTCCAGCAAATGCTATTGAAATAATAGGCAGATATGGAAATCTCTTCAGCATCTACAAGCTCTTGCAGTTACTGCTCTTCTGTGTGGAGAAGACAGTTTGGTGGGAGCCATAGATGCGCGTGGAGATGAATAGCTAGAGTCTCTACAGCCTCCAGGCTGCCGGCCTTGAAGCTGCCTGTGCTGCCACTCATTCTCCCCCCTCCCTCTTGACACCCAGGAGAGTTTTCAGCATCTCTGCCCAAAAGATACTGTCTTACATTTGGAGACTTCATGCTCAGTGTCCATGCTTGTGTGTCCACACATTCCCCTACACACCTGCACACACACACACACAACACATGTACATATATACTCCACCTGTACACACATTGCTTCTGAGAAATGCAACTAGAATTCTCTCGAGAGGAGAGGAAGCTCCAGTTTAATTCACTCCCCCAAATGAGAAAGATAAATGACTCTCCTAAAGCCACATTGTTAACCATAGAGCCATAGCTAAGGCCAGATACCCTCCGTCCTTATTCTAGTGCTGCAGGCCCACACACTCAGCTTGGAGATAACTCCTTATATAATTCAGAGCATCCTCTGTAGATAAAGGCTCTCCCTCCTCAGGGTCGACCCAAGAACTTCACAATCACCACGAACTTTTGTTCAGTTCTTTACATGTTTATGAAAGAGAGATCATTTCATAACAAGCCAACTTACATTTGAAAGCAGCCTCTCACAACCCCAAGTAACTGCCGACCGCCTTTTATTGATTATTTGACACCGAAAACAGCTCTTTTGAAAAATAAGTTCAAAACACTTTTGTATATTGCCACTTTCATAGCACCTACCCGCAGGCCTTAAGTGTCTGCTTTCTGAAAGGTTGCTTCCAAAGCATTATAGAAGAAAAAGAAGTTTTCTTGGCTCAGTATTTCTAATCTGATTTTTTTATAGTTAAATGTATTTTATATGCATGCTGTGTTTCATTTATGATTTGAGTAGAATTAATCTAAAACTGCAAGATGACTTTATGTCCAAGTGTCTGTTCAGCCCTTAGTTGCTGAAATTATTTTTTATTGAAAGTAATGTAATAACATAGTCCATGGAAAGGCAAATCAAACAGCAGGTTTTGTATCATTTTTAAAATCATCAGTGGGGGGAGGAGGAGAAAAAATAAAAATAAATAAAAATCAACAACAAAGACTCTCCAAACAACAGAAATTGGAACTATCAGCCAGTCATAAAGTGCTGTGGTGTCTGTAGAAGCAAAGGACTGAAATTGGTGAAATGTGTTTGATCCCAGAAGATAGTAATAAGGAGGTAATAAGGAAAAGGAGTAATAAGGAGATGAGTATTTTCTCAAACAGATATCCAGTGGTGTCACATATATGCAAAATGTAGAGAAACAAAACAAAGGGTCAGATAAAGCCAAATTAATAATCTTAAAAATCTGACCATAGAACTGGGACTATGAAGTGGCAAGAACAAAGAGGAGAGGGAGGTGGTGACTTTGGGCGGGTAGATGTGGTATGGCAACAGCACCTGAAGGGGGAGACCCTAGACCTCTAAATCCCATCTGACATTGTAAATCAATGTTCCCTCATTTAAAAAAAATTTTTTTAATTTTCTCATTATTAAATAACTTCGACTTTATGAAGATATTAGCAAAGTGAACGTATATGGCCAATTTTCTGAACTGGTGTGGTGTTCACTGTGAATAGATATCTCCAACTCAGTTGCCTTCCCCTTTTTATTTGCAGCCATTTGTCATCTATGACATGAATTCCTTAATGATGGGAGAAGATAAAATCAAGTTTAAACACATCACCCCCCTGCAGGAGCAGAGCAAAGAGGTGGCCATCCGCATCTTCCAGGGGTGTCAGTTCCGCTCTGTGGAGGCCGTGCAGGAGATCACAGAGTACGCCAAAAGCATCCCTGGTTTCGTGAACCTCGACTTGAACGACCAAGTAACCCTCCTGAAATATGGCGTCCATGAGATCATCTACACCATGCTGGCCTCCTTGATGAATAAAGATGGGGTTCTCATATCAGAAGGCCAAGGATTCATGACCAGGGAGTTTCTAAAAAGCCTGAGAAAGCCCTTTGGTGACTTTATGGAACCCAAGTTTGAGTTTGCTGTGAAGTTCAATGCACTGGAATTAGACGACAGCGACTTGGCCATATTTATAGCTGTCATTATTCTCAGTGGCGGTAAGTCCCCTTTCGATCTCCTTTGGGGCAGGGTGGGGCCGTGGGAAGGGATTGTGACATTGGCTAGTGGTCGTGCTCATTCCTTTTGCTCTGTGCTTACTGCACTGTTCATAGAGAGCATGCCAGTGACATCCCATGGCAAAGAGGCCCGCACATGCGAAACCCCAGGAAGACTAGCATGGGTGAGCCACGTGAAGGTCGGAAGGACAGCGCCCAACTGCGTCGTGTCCAGTCCAAGCGTGCAGGACAAATGCCCTCTTCTCCTTTTGCTTCATTTTCCTTTCTTTTCCCAAAGGCCAATCCAGGCTTCATTTTGCTTAACTAACAGCGTGTTTCACTTCACTTAAGAGAGTGGTCACTTGGCATAGAGAAAGCACTTCTGTTTTTGGTCAAATTATGCTCCACCCCCACTGTCAGTAAATATTACTTTGAGTGGCTTCTCTGGTATCAGGAATCAAGGAATTGCTTACCTGCTGCCTGCTGTAGATTCCCCTGGTGGCTTCCCTTGAAGTTCCTTTGTGAGGTGGTTGATTGTGGTTAAGATTGCACAATCTGAACCAAGCAACACACAGCAGAGAAATGAGCAGTTATTTAGCAGTTCATTGTATTTTTGGCTTTGCAAGTACATGATCTAACTAACCAAGCCCCAAAGCCAGGTTTTATACTAAATGCTGCTTTCATCAACCTCACCCGTGTTTCCAGGTTGAGGAGAAAGTTTGACTATCGTCTTTCTATGAAGATTGTTTTTAAGGGATGAGTTTTCATTACTAAAATGGACTGTGGATAAGCTTTTTATGTGACTTCTGTTCATGAAAACAGAGGAGTGGAGGACATTAGTACTCGCAGGTGAGCTGTGTGCAGCAGTGCAGGACAATAAGCAGAAACCTGTCCACTGTGTGGGTCCTGTGTCGTCCGATTATAGGCAGTGCAGCGTGCTTCTGAAACTGAGTTACGGTATTCATAATCACTAACAATTCATAATTGTTAGTGCTAATTAGTAATATTGATTACTGATTGGTTAGTGTCAATATCAATTACTGTTACTGATACTACATAATTACTAGTTAGTAATAATAGTAACACTTATTCAGTACTTACTGTGTGTTAGGCAGTATTCTGAGCATTTTATACACGTTCATTGAATTACCGCACCCTGGTGAGGCCAAACACCATTTTGCAAAGGTAACTGATCACCAGAAGTTCAATGACTTACACAGGGAGCAAAGGATGGAGCCAGGATTGTGCACTCAGGCAGCTGGGGATAAAGGCTAACTAACCAAGGAGCCCAGGGACGCTGCCCTTTCTGTGCCCAGGATACATATGGATAAATGACATCACCTAGGTTGACTCTGGACACTCAAGTCCAGGGTCAAATTGTAACTCATCTAAAAATAACTTTTTTGGTGTATGTTTAATACAACAAAAATATATTATCCAACATGTTTGACCAGATCTACTTCTTAAACAAAGTAACCCTTGATCCTAGACAATCTGTGATTCATTAAACAAACAAGAATGAGATTTCCATTTATTTGAGATTCATTGGGAGTAGAAGATTAAATTTTGAGAAACTTCATTAGAAAACAAGTTGGTATTGTTTAACTAGCTAATGTTTTAAGGCACATTTTATTTTTTAATAAAAAATAGAAATATAATGATTAACATTTAATATTGTTCCAAGACTTTGCCTCAGCATTCTATGTATGCCATGTTTATATCCTTTTTCTTATATAATCATTTTCCCATGTCATTGCATACTCTTTGTTAATATTTTCAGCTATTTTTCTTTAAATAAAAGGTATACATTGTCATTTTACAATTCAAAGAGTTGAGGAAGATACAAGTGAAAAGTAAAGGTCTCTGTCCTCAAAATAAAGTAGGGTTAGCAAAGCCCTGTTTCTCTTACCAAAGTATTTCAGTGCATATGCTAGTGTATATGTAGGTATGCTTACATGTATTTTAAACAACATTTTAATGACTATATAGTATCCCACTTTATGAAAGGACCTTTATATACTAAATTATTTCCTTTTTGGTGTTTAGGTTACTCATAACTTATTATAAAAACCAATGGAGGAAAAAAATAGAAAATTATTTTAAATGTGTTCTAAACTTTGCTGTAGTAAACATTTGTAAGTTCCATTCAATTGAAATTTCTGTTCAGGTGTCAGATTATTTTTTCATTCTAAATTACCAGAAGTAGAGTTGCTGGGTATATGGCTATGAATGCTTTTAAGTCTTTTGTTATATCATTGCCTGGTTGTTTTCCACAAAGTTTGCATCAGTTTGTACTCACAGATATGGAAGGAAACATTTTAAATAAGCCATCCAAAAATGCTTAGTTTCTAACTTGGAAAGGCCTAGAAACAATCTAATAGTTGTGGATTTTTTGAACCTTAGAACAATGTTACTTTCTGAGCACATGAGACAGTAGTGTGGCTTCATCTAGAAAAATGCTATTTCAGCCCATAATTCATAAACCAGATTATTTAGAAATCACTGTTTATTAGGTCCTTAAAGTCTTCATTAATTGGTCAAGAAATAGTTTTGTGGTAGTTTGGTTTAATTTAATAGATATTGTAGGCTTTGATTTTCAACTATGAAAATTAAAAATGGTTCCATTTAATGTAGAAGTTGAATGAATGAGTTTCTTTCAGCCTTAGACAGACTATCTTCACCGTAGCCAAAATGCAGATGTTGCTTGGTATTCAGAATAATGAAAGAAATGTGATGAAGATGGCAATGAGTCACAAATGATTAAAATCTTTTCTCTATCATTATAATGATCGCTTCTCTGCCTTTTGGCTAAGATCACGTGTATGATTATAATGAGAAGAAAAACCCTGTGAATAATTTTAGATGTCCTCAAAAAAAAAGGATTTGCCACTACTAGTTCCTATATCATTAAAGGCAGGTCCTTCCCTGATCAAAGTTTGCTTTTGTAGCTGCAGCCTCCCCTACAGCAATAGCTAAGGAGGAATAGACTGGACGCCATGTTTGTTCAGTCCACAGGAATTTGATTCTCTTCTTTACTCATAGAAGTTGATTGTGTATAGGCCGGAGGATGAACTGCTAAGTCACTTGCAGTCCAAAGACTGGATTCCAATAAGAACAGAATCTCAATCATTGGTAGATGGTGAGATCAATATTCCAGACTATAGTTTATTAGAGTAAGATAGATACTTTCTCAATTCGTATTTTTTACTTTCCTATCCTGAGTTTTCCAGAAAGGGAAAACTTTGAGGTAGGCAAGAGACCTTGATCTGGTTTTAAAAAAAAAATCCTAATCCTATCTTAATAAGTGATTATTTTCTCCTCTGCAGTTTATTCTGACATGTCCAGGGAGCTTGAGGATTTCAGAAAGAAGCACTTTGGGCAGGGTCCCACTGTCCTTGTACTGAGCGAGTGTTGGACTCACAGAGAGCCTGGTGCTGGTATGACTGTAGACTAAGGGAAGATGGGGCGGTGGGCCCCAGTAAGCGTGGGGGAGAAAGGAAATAGACAGGGGGTCCCAGAAGGCCCAAAGAGAATTTTGGGGATCATGGTACCTGTTTTGGCCCAACTAAGTGCGTGCTGAGGAAACAGAAGTTGCTATCACCTTCAATGGTAGAAACTGCTGATGCCTTTAGATTAGGTACTTAGATTGGCCAGGCGCTTCAAGTCTGCTACTTAGCTCTCAGACCAAGCTTGCTAAGGAAGATGACCTAGTTCTTAAGTTTTTCTCTTCCTTTTCTTTCTTCTCTGAGCTTGAGGCAAGAAGAATGAGACTGGAAAGAATAACAACACTCCGGAACCTGACAAAGGACAGTACTTTGTCCCTTTTTAAAGGCCAGATGTGCGGGAGGGTGAGAGGATTCACCAGAGACAGAGTGGGGAACAGAACAGGCAGACTGACGAAATACACTGCTGAGGGGCCTTTTTAAGATCGTGTTCTCTCAGTAGGGCCTGACAGTCTGTGTTTATATTCTCATTTCATGGAAAGAACAGTGAGGGTTATTGACTTAAGCTCTTTATCTAAGACACAACAACTAGTGATCAATGGAACCAGGACTGAAATCAGGTGTCCTGACTGTCACCTCCAGCACCCTGTCTGCCACACCCCCTGCCTCTGCCATCTGCTAGCAGGGCAGGGCCAGTTCCATCATTCCTGTGTTGTGGCTGTGACCTGTGCTCACTCCACTGTGCTCCCAAGACCTGGGCCCTGCAGCCAGGAGAGGCACTTCCTCCACCATCATGGTCGGTCACAGTTTTCCGTGCTCCCATGTATGTGCCCTGGCTGGAAGGGTGGTGTCAAGAGTAATAAAACTGCCTCCAGCAGGGGCATGTTTGCAACTGGCGCCTCAGCCTCCTGCCAGCCCCCACCCCCCACCAGTAAACTCCCCAAACCTACCTGGCAACCAAAGCCAAGCGTAAAGCTCGGTAAAGCTGACAAGCCCCAGGACACTCTGTTGGACGCTTTGCCCCCTAAGTGTGTGCTGTTTGGTGAAGAAAAGCTTCGGAGGGCTCCAGCTGGAAGTCTGCAGCGGGCAAAAGCTCTTTTTGTTAATTCAAAACAGTTTGGAATCCAGTACTGTTCTTCCCAAACTTCCAAGATAGAACGGAGGAAATTCACAGGATTTTACAACCCATTTCTCTAGGCAGATTGCCATCACCATCTTAATGACAGCAAAGCTACAAACATTGGTCCAAGGCCACCGCAGGCAAGTCACTCTGCCTCCTCGTTTCCCCTTTGTGTCTGGCCAGGTTATGCCAGCCAGCTCTACAGAAACTCCCTGTGCCAGCAGTCCAGCCGGGTTCTTTCTCTGGGAAGCAGTTTTGTAGGGCTGCTCTGGTAGTGACGGTTTGTTGCATTTCTCCTGTGGAGCAGACAGGGAGAACAGGGCACATGGAGAGCTGGTCTCAGCTCTGCATTTGTAGATCAAGCAAGAGTAGCAATTCCAGGACAACTGGGTAGCTCCTGTCCCCCTGTCCAGGCCCTCACCTGGACCTGTTTCTCCCCT